CAAATGTTTAGTGTTCTCTACCACCATCTCCATCATCATCAAATGTTTAGTGTTCTCTACCACCACCTCCATCATCATCAAATGTTTAGTGTTCTTCACCACCTCCATCATCATCATTATCATCATCATCATCATCATCAAATGTTTAGTGTTCTTCACCACTTCCATCATCATCATCATCATCATCATCAAATGTTTCGTGTTCTCTACCACCACTTTCATCATCATCAAATGTTTAGTGTTCCCTACTACCACCTCCATCATCATCAAATGTTTAGTGTTCTCTACCACCACCTCCATCATCATCATCAAATATTTAGTGATCTCTACCACCACCTCCATCATCATAAAATGTTTAGTGTTCTTCACCACCTCTATCATCATCAGATGTTTAGTGTTCTCTACCACCACCTCCACCATCATCAAATGTTTAGTGTTCTCTACCACCACCTCCATCATCATCAGATGTTTAGTGTTTTCTACCACCACCTCCACCATCATTAAATGTTTAGTGTTCTCTACCACCACCTCCACCATCATCAAATGTTTAGTGTTCTTTACCACCACCATCTCCATCATCATCAAATGTTTAGTGTTCTCTACTACCACCTCTGCCATCATCAAATGTTTAGTGTTCTCTACCACCACCTCCATATTATCAAATACTTAGTGTTCTCTACCACCTCCATCATCATTAAATGTTTAGTGTTCTCTACTACCACCTTCATCATCATCATTAAATGTTTAGTGTTTTCTACTACCACCTCCATCATCATCAAATGTTTAGAGTTCCCCACCTCCATCATCATCAAATGTTTAGTGTTCCCCTCCACCACCTCCACCATTATCCAATGTTTAGTGTTTTCCACCACCTCCATGATCATCCAATGTTTAGTTTTCTCCACCACCTCCATCATCCAATGTTTAGTGTTCTCTACCACCACCTCCACCATCATCAAACTATTGGAGTCCTGTGCTACTTTGGAGACTTCTGGGACATTTCACAGCTTCTCTGATGCTTTCTCAGAGCTCTACTGTTGAGGCAGAATTGGGTCCCTCTTTTAAATTACCACACTTTTTCATTCTTCCTCTTCAGCTATGGCATACTTTGTTTCCTTAGCAGAACATAAATTTTCTTTATGATTGTAATTATATCCTGGTTCTGTAAAAGTGAAGTGAGGGCAAGGGAAGTTTTTATTATGTCTGAAATGACTTTGGATTATTATCCGTATGAATAATATGGGAAATATTTTAGCCACTCCTAATGTTAAAGCTGAAGGTTCTTTTCCTCTATTAAAAGTTGTCTTAAAATACTTTTCAAGCTTATTTCATTTTTCCAGAAGTTCATTAAAAAGAACATTTATTTCTTTTACAGTTTCTATAGTGTGTTTATTTTAAATCATTAGATGCATTTCTAATATATAACATAGGATGTCTAGTATGAATTTCTAAGCAAACATTGAAAGTTATATAATTTTAAATATTTGTAAAATGTGAAACTTTTCTAGAGTTTGACTGACTTTCTCCCAATCAATCCAAATTGATGAGGTCCTATTTGTTTTTTTTTAAAGTATCAATTGTGTATGTTACTAATCCCTGCTACTAAAGTAGGAGGAAATACAGGATGTACATTTTAACTATCTTGATTTTAAAAATGTGTTTGGATTGTCTATCATGATATTCAAATTAACACACTATCTGGTTAGTAATGTAATTTTATAGTGTTTATTTTTAAGTAACTGTACCTCGCCGGGCGGTGGTGGCACATGCCTTTAATCCCAGCACTTGGGAGGCAGAGCCAGGCGGATCTCTGTGAGTTCGAGGCCAGCCTGGGCTACCAAGTGAGCTCCAGGAAAGGTGCAAAGCTACGCAGAGAAACCCTGTCTCGAAAAACCAAAAAAAAAAAAAAAGTAACTGTACCTCATATGATAGTAACTATATGCCATTTACCCTGCACATTCCATTATAGCCTGTTTATATGTGGGGTATCTAAAATATTTGCTTTATATATTGCAATGTATCACAAAATGTGTTTGTACTTAATAACTACCTAGTAGATCCGCTTTTCCTAAAAATTATGACTTAGAAGATATTCACATACTAAACGATTCTAAGTATACTTAGAGCTATAACCCAACATATGTTATTGAACACCCAAATATAGATAGTCTCCTTACCACATTTCTCAATGTGATGACATAGTAAATTCAGGAAAAGAAGTATATTTTTCTTTTTCTAGAGCTTATTTCTGGATGGATAACAAATACATGAAAATGTGTTTAACCTAATGGACCATATCTCAAATATTAGTTTTTTTTTAAAAGGAGGTTGAGATTGTGATTGGCAATGGGAAATAATTGATCGGTACTTCTTTTTTTTCTAATTACTTTGAACAGGACAGAGATTCCTTTGCCATCAGATGTCTTTCTGCTTGACTGAGCTACACCTGTGGTCTCTGAAGAGTACCTTACACATTGCGGGTGAGTGAGCTCTGGATCAGTGTCAGGGCTCTTCAGTCTCTTACACTCTTATCAATGAGTACTGACAAAGTTAGGGCCTGGGTTTGGCAGATAGAATTGCGGCCTCTTTTTTTTTTCATCCTTAATGAAAAATTGGGTGATGAAAAAAATTCTTTTAAATACTCTTGTTTTTTGGCTTGAGTTATGAAATTAATTTTACTAGTCTAATAGTTCTTCCTTCTAAAAATACACACATGTTCAATTTCTTATTAAGCTTATTCAACTGCTGTATAGTCATACATTTTTGCAGATTAGCTCATGAAAAGACATTTCTTTTTGATATCAAAAGCATTTCAAACATGTCACTGAGATATACAATTATCTGAGTTCTTTGTGTTTTGTGTTTCTTGAATAGAAATAATAGAACTGTGTGTATAGAATAATATATATTTCATTAGAAAACAACTTATAAATGTTTTCTACTTTAATTATTCAGAGTAATTTTTATATTTAGAAATACATTTTTACTTACATTACTTTTATATCTTTATCAGGAAAATGGTTTACCTTGCAGAGTACTAGCTGTTTCTTAATAGTGAATATACACTAACAAATGAATGCCATGTTTTCATTGATTCCCCTTAAAGTATATTGAAATGGAATTTCTAGTTTAAGACTTGACTTATATTTGTTTCCTCCCAAAACTTTTAAAAGAAGATTAACCCAATTAAAATAATGATGCATAAACACACAAAACCTGAGATTAGGAAAAGGACACTTTCAATTGGACAGTTTTTTGGAAATAGAAGAGATGAAGAAATTAGCAGAGTAAATATCTGAGTACCATTTGCCTAGAGAAGATATTCCAGTGACAGCCCATTTGTATCTTACAAACCTCGGAAAGGCTGAAACTTGAGAAGCATGTACTCGGAAGATGGGGATGTGGCCCCAGGGTGACAGCAGAGGGAATGTGTGTCTGTGTAAAATAATGAGACACCTCCATGATGTGGAAACTGTAGGACACCAGAGCCACAGGAAGGAGACCCGCTAAACTGTAGGTGGAGAAAATTGAAGCTGCCATGCTGATGGATGAGGTCTTCCTAACCCATTTGCGGCTGAGAATGTCTTCTCACCTTTGTGTATTTGCCAAGAAAGAAGGGGCTTGAGAACAGAACCCTTTCCTGGGGTAACTGCAGGGACCCAAAGAGAAAACATCCACCCTGATGTTTTAGGGGTCTTTGGTAAAATATTTGGTCCCTGGCTGGTCAGTGAAGCCTCTTCAATGAAACCCTGTTCAGGTATGGGAAGCTTCAGTAGATTTCTAGAGGCTCACTTGTAAGAGAGCTCAGGAATCATCAGATATGTTAGTATTTTCTACAGGAAAGAAGACGAGTAATAAAAAGCAATCGGGAAAAGGGAATTCTGCAGAAACTAAGATTACATAGGAAGGAAGAGAAAATCGCCAACCTAAAGAAAGAGCCGAGGCCATGAAGCACAGAACCAGGCACAGGGGCTTTAGAGAACACGGATGCTAAACTGGTCTGGAAACTGAAAATATAGCACAAGAAGAAAGTGAAAAGTGAAGCAATTATCTCCAAAATATTTTCCTCTCTTTTCATATCCACGTTTCTTCTCAGACAGAATGGTTCTCATTGCTTCTGTGGCTTTAGTTAACCTGCCAAACACTCCTAGACATCAGTCTAGCATTTCTGTGTCCTCTCCTGTGTGGATATCATTCTTACTTCATGTGGTCCTTGGCACAAGTCACATGATTCCCATGTCTTGCTTCTCTTGTTTGTTTTCTAATACCCCATACCGAGCTGCTATGCTCTATGTATGTACTTTGTACTTGCAGGGGTTCTAACATACTGTGTTGTCTGAGTACTGTATTATTAGCTGGGAGGACATCTTCCTCCCCAGCTCTGGTACTGCTTGGACAAGTCTCCTTATGGAGATGCTCTTGTCCTAGTTACATTCAACCCCACTCAGCCAGGTACAGGAAGGTCAGATGTGTGCACAGAATTCAGGGTCCCTTATGATCTTCCTAGCTCTATTCTAGAGTTGTAAATATATGGATATATGGAATGATATTATAATTATAAACTGGAATGTTTTAATAGGAGATATTGCTTGCATATATAATGCCTGCAGTTCTAGCTCATAGCTTTAAATAACAAGAAACTTTTAAAATTGAAGTGTAACATATGTACTGAAAAGTGTACAGATTGTAAGAATATGCTGTGAACTATCAAAAAGTGAGCACATTCGTGAGATCACTACTCAGCTTAACAAAATATTGTGAGTGCTCAGGGGCCGCGATCTCCCAGTCAGTCTTTAGTAGATATTTGCCATTTAAATGACAGACATCTAATTGCATTCTTTAAAATCATGTCTTAATTTCACAATGAATAAAATAAGCTTTAGTTATGAGTATAGAGTATATGAGTATGAGCATATGAATATATGAGTATTGAGTATACTCATATATATAAGTATATCAAGTACACGTGACCGCTACATATTTGCAGACTCAATTATAGTAGTTTTATGTGTCTTTTTCTTCTGGTTTTGTCCATCAGGTTGACGAAGTTTGGAGTCAGTCACTAGGGGGCAGCCTGTACTGCTTCCACTTCATGAAAGACAGTTGTAGCCTCCTTATGTTAGTGACTGAGAATTATTTTTGCATGGAGGAAAACAAGTGTTACTTCAATAAAGGAGATATTTCATTATTCATAGACATAGAAAAATTATTCTGTTCTCTTGTTTAAATTGCAAGAACAGAATCCCTTGGTTAAATCAATCCCAACATCTGCGAAGTCTCACTTTGTCTCTTACCTAGCCCAGCAGAGCATCTGAATTTGAATAGGTTTGGAAGCCTTTTGACTCTAAACAAGTTTCAGATAATAATTTATCCACAGCTCCCGGTAATCCCCCCTTTCTTCTTGCAGATTTCCTCCCAAATGCTATAGGATGGGAACTAGACTTCTGAGCTAAATTGGAGAAAAGCAAGCCACAGCTCGGAATCCAACAGCTAGGGCATTTTCTTCCATCCACTGACTTCATTTGGCATTGCTTAGTGGCAGTTCCTTTTGGTAGCGCCCTGTGAAAACTATCAGAGGAAGTGTGAAAGAGAAAACTTGGTCTTCCTTGATTCAGTTCTTCACTAATCTTCCCCCATGCCATTCTAGCTGTGCGTGTTCCCTTATGCCATTCCCATTTTCTCATTAGATCGATAAACGTTCCAGTTTCTGCATGTCCCTAGAATAGATGAACCCATGGCCAGATGCTTTTGAGCTATTTTATTTCTAGAAACATAAGGAGACTGGTTCTGCTCCCCTCCCCACAATTCCCTCTGATATAGTATGATTTGGCTTCTTATTCTCCAGAACTTTTTACCATAATTTAATGTTATTTCGTTCTTTCTATAGATAGAGACATCGGCGTCTACCAGTACTATGACAAGAAAGATCCACCAGGTAAAGTACTCACATATTCTATTTAACTGGTTTTATAAATGAAATATTCTGAGCAATGAATTAGCAACATTAAAAACTCTGTGTTTATGGCTTTAGATAAATTTCAAACTTTTAAGAGCAGTCAATTCAGGTTTTTTAAAGAAAAAAAATACTAAGGTTGATATCTATCTGATCTATCAAAAATAAAGCAATACTGAGAAAATGTTGTAGAATAACGTGAAAATTTTCATTTTATTGCTGATCAGGCTGATAACAGGACAGTCTTAGTCACATTTATTTATTGGTTTCCCAGCAGAGGGCATTGTTAATGCATTGGTCCCCGTGATGCTGGCCTCCCGGATCCTCACCTGATATCTGAAATAGACATTTCTGAGTGAATGATCAATTTTCTTTATCTGATTAATCCTGTTAATCCCAGAAGTTTTATGATGGGCCGAAAGGTCTCCCTAGCTAGAGTTACTTCCTGTTCTGTTCTTGGTTGAAGTGGGGGCTGTGAGAGCATCCTGTGCTTAGCATGGCGGTTAATAGGCTGACTCCAGAGCTCTGATGACAGACTGCAGCAGCTCCTCTGCTGGGCTCGGTTGCAGTTCCCTTTCCTGTCTGATGAGATTGGAAGCTCAGAATGTCGGCCCACCTGTTGTGCTATCTAAGCCTTTTCACTGTGCATTAAGGAAATGGCTTCGGTGACATGCAAACACACATTGGGACATTCTCACTCAACTGTCCTTTTTAAAGCTCAGCATCATGTATTCATCTCAGTGTCTGCAGCAGTGTATTCTATATGCCCACTAAAAACATAAGACACTTTAATAAAAACAAATTCCACTTTTCTTCTATTCATCTTTCCTTTGCCACAGTGTCAGCAACAGAGCATGGTAACTTAGAAGAAAAACAAAGGCTGGCAGAGTGTAAGTTCACCTTACATATTTCTAGAATTATAAAAACAGTATTATGTTCCAGAGTAACTGTTTCCTACACAAATTGTAAGTGTTACTCTGTCCACGTTTCTTATAAATACTGATCCCTATTGTTTATGTGTATGAACTTATGAATAATAATTGTATTTGTTAGGCTTTTCTCATGAAATCTGTAAAATCTTTACTGTATACAATTTTGATAAGATATGTGCTTTTATAAACAAAAACTTAAAATTAAGTATTTGTATTTAATATTTTTAAATAAATTATTTTCATTTAAAATGTGTAATTGGCTAAAAAACTATAAATGTTCAAGGTATACAACATAGTGATTTGATGTATCAATCATGAAAGTCTTATAGTAAAATTTATTATGTCACCTCATTTTTGTGTTAGAAAATGATTATAAATCATGGTTAAGTTCTGATAACATTTAATTTTTCATGTTTTGACTAAATTTTTAACATATTTTACTTATTTTAACATATTTATTTTATTAGTGTGTGTGTGTGTGTGTGTGTGTGTGTCCCCGTGCGTGCATGCATGCTTGTGTATAGCATGTGTGTGGAAGTCAGGGGGAATCGGTTCTCTTCTTCCACCATGGGGGTCCCAAGATTTTAACTCAGGTTGTCAGTCTCTTCAATGGGCGCTTGCACCCTCTGGGCCAAAAGTGAGATTTGTTATATCAACATTTTATTTAGTTGTTAGTCTGAAAGATACAAATATGTTATATGTATAGTATAACTACATGGAGGTATGGTTTTAATGAATTAAAGCTAATGCAATTTAAAGTTTTATTTGGAATATAGCTAGAGCTGAAAAGCCTTCCTTTTTTTCTTATTTAAGTGATTGAACTGACATTTAATTTTTAGATAACTGCATTAGTATCTGCAACACATATCTTAAAATTTGTACATATGTTCTACACATCAAAATTATGTTTATAGAGCCAAATTAACTTGCTGAAATAGGATACATAGCAATTTCTATGTTTAAATTTAAATATCTATATATGCTATATATTATTTGTATATGCATACATGACATATACATTCATATACACAGTTCTTTTTTAGAATTATTAATTATGAGACTAAGGATTAATTCCTTTTTTTCCAGTGAGTTTAACATGGTATTAGTATTATTCATGTACCATGTATTTATCTGTATGTAGTAGGTGCTGGAGATAGAACCCAGGGCTTCACACATGCTAGGCAAGTGTTTTGTCACTGAGTTAGACCCCTTGCCCATATTTATTAATTTTTAAAACAGATTTAATTTTAGGCTAACTTTGTATGTCTACAAATAACCTTTCAATTGAAATTATTTAAAATAAATAAGGTATATAATTATTGGATTATGGCATAGATTTTAGAATTATTTTATTTTTTCCTTTTATTGAAAATAGATTTTTTTTCTCACATAATACACCCTGATTACAGTTTCCCCTCCCTCTGTTCCTCCCAGCTGCTCTCCACCTCTCCTCCCATCTGGATCCACTCCCTTTTTCTCTCTGACTAGAAAACAAACAGGCTTCTAAGGAATAATAATAAAATAATATATAATAAAATAAAACAAAAGCTAACACATTGGAATTGGACAAAAAAAAAAAAAAGAAGGAAAAGAGCCCAAGAGAAGGCACAAGAATCAGAGACTCACACATTCACACACTCAGGAATCCCATCAAACCACTAAACTAGAAGCCATAATATATACTCAAAGGACCTGCTGCAGATCTGAGCAGGCCCTGTGCACGCAAGGAAGCCTCTCTGATGATGGCTGAACACGGCACTGATGAGTATATGGTAGAATGTCATTGGGAGTGCTTTGTTTTTAATTTTATTTTTAAAAGAATAGTAGTATTTAGTTGTCCCTAGGTCCCTGGGATGTCCAGTCTCGGGTTCTTGGTCATCCAAGCAATGTTAGGAATGGGCTGCCCCTCAAGGAGTAGGCCATAAGTCAAAGCAGGTACTGGCTGGTCACTCCCACAAGCTTTGTGGCACTGTTGCGCAAACATATCTTTCAGGTAGGATACCATTGTAGATTAAAGAGTTTATGGCTTAGTTAGTGTTTACATTTGAGAGAATTATTTCAAGGAACATTCCTAATACCTATTTGTTAAAACTTGGGTGTTCCCCCCCCCTTTTTTTTCTAGAGTTGAAGTATATAGTGCTTTGGTCATGTTTAAATTAATTTTCTTCCTATTACTTTTATATTCTGTTTCTTTCCTCACCACAGTTAACTTATTAATGAGAAGTTTCAGGTATGAGTTGGCCACTTGGAGATGTTGGAATTTCTTTTGGGTTGAACCTTGAGTATTTTCATTAAAAAGTTACTCAGATTATAAGATCAGGCCATTTACTACGAAATACTGCTGGGTCCCTTGGCCTACCAAAACTTCTTAGGGTCTCTCAGGCTTGTGGGTTGTCATCACAAAATTATAATCAGGGAGATTAGTTTGTGGTAAAAATCTGTTTCTGTAACAAAGCCTTTTAAAAGACTGCCATTTAGTGATAGTGATGAAGTCTGCTTCCTCTCAGTTATGGGGTGTCTTATTCTAATCCTCTAAGGCACACTGCTAAACAGAGGTTCCTTATTTAATTCATGTTTGACTAACTGTTGTACATGTTTTATTTGCCAGCACGAGATTATCCTTGGACACTCAAAAATAGACGCCCAGAAAAACTTCGAGACACACTGAAAGAATTGGAGGTATCTTTCAAAAGGTTTCAAAAATGGGAAGAAACAACTCTGCTTTAGAACATCTTTCACCAGATTTAATTTTCATAAAGGAGCAGCTCTCCTGGTGATGATGGCTTTACTTCTGTCCAGAGAGAGCTTCCTACACAGTTGTGTCTTTGTGTGGCTTGTTGATCGCCTTCCTTTTTTTTTTCTTTTTTCTTTCTTGCAAATCAGAAGCACTTTAACTGATAATGACAAAGTGTGTAGCCAACTGCACTCTCTCTTTCTGTTGTCCTTCAGGAATTGATGCAAAACAGTCCGTGTGTGCTGAGCAAATGGAAGAACAAATGCATCTGTCAGGTAAAATGGTTTGACAAGCTTTCGCAGTGTTTAACCAATGGAGCTGAAAGCTATGTAATAATTGTAAATTATTCTTGTGTTTTGATAGATAATGGAAAAAACTTTTCAGGAGTAGATATTTCATAGTTTGGATATTAGTCATTCTGGAATGAACATTAGACAGATTGACATAGGCCACCAAGCTGCCTCATTAACCAGTGTGGTCATATTGACATACTGCAAACACTAATAAGAATCCTTGCAGGCAATGTTTCTCACTTGGGTTTATCTTGATGTAGTAGTGGATATTCACTAGCATATTTTTTAAATGACAGTAACACACAAAAAAATGACAGTAACACCATAGAACAAAAAAATTTTTCATTATAAGTATTCTTGTAAACATTTATGAATACCATGCTTGTGAAAATGAACAAGCGGATAAGAGTGAAACCTAGTTTAACCAGAGAGTAAGTCTTGCATGCTGACCCTCTGGGCTGTATATTTTAATGTGGTAGACACTAGTTATATGTGGCTATTTTTAAATAAAGTTAAATTTCCATTCCTCAGTTACAGCTCTCCCCATTTTAAGTTCCTGGCAGTCAGGGATGCAGATATAGACCATTTCCACGGCAACAAGTTCTATTGGACAGCCCTGTGCTCAGCAGACCTAGATTTAGAACATAATCAGGACATCATAATTCATACACATTGACCACAAAATAAGGGACAACTAAATGCCTTAGCCTTGCTGATACACTTAAAAATACTATTTGTTGGGAAAATTTTTACTTGCTTTTGATAAAAAGGATTATAGTTATCTGTATACTTATATTGTATCACCACTACCAATAATTATAATTTATTTTTGGAATCAAATATACTGTTTCGGTTTTATTTTTTGTGCTTTTTATTACAAGTTTTAAAAAAAAATGTGTGAACATTCTTGTTTATAAGTTAGGCCCATTTTTCTATCAATAAACCTCCTAACACAAATTCATAGTAATTACAAACATATCTTAATTTACCTCTTTCAACATAGACTATTTTAGTTAATTCTAATTTCCCTCTTAGAAAACTCCATTATTTGTTTTGTCTAAACTGTTCTCCCTTTCGTGATGGAGTTTAGTTGTTACCTTGTCATCTGGCATGAATTTCTACTTTCTAGACTGTTACAAGGCTGAATGAATATTTTTGGAACCGTAACACTTCTAAAATTCTCCTTAGGATACTCTTCAAAAAGATGGCATTGTTTAAAATCGTAACTTATTTGCATAGAAATATATAATGAGACCTTCAAGCTTGAATATCAGATGTGCTCCAGTAAGTTTCAGATTTAGTTCAGCTTAAGCTTGGAGTTCCTAATGCAGTTACTCACTGCAAAAACAGGCTCAAAATTATTTGACTGGAGGGCAAGCCTGCCACCTACATTAGGAGGTGTGTCTCATGGCCTCCACCCTACCATCACCAGGGGTAAGTTGGAACATGTCAGGCATCTTAAAAAATGCAGTGGAACATCCCAGTTAGGTGATCCTTTTTAGATAGATTTCATTGCTTTTAATTTAATGACAAGGCTTTTGTGTGTAATTCACATGTTGCAGAAAGGATATCTTTCATTATTGAATTAATTCAACTCAGAAAAGAAACTTTTTTAATGGTAGAATATATGTAAAAATTGTTTTTGTAATTTACAATAGACAGCCCTGGTGGCTTTGGCTGGTGTACCAGTGACTCTGCTTTGGGCAGTTCTGATGGATTTACCTAATTTTATGTTCTGTTTTATTTCTATGGTAGATAAGACTTTTCTAAAATAGACCTTTTACTCCCAGCACATTCTTGATATGCTATATTTTCACAAGATAACTTCCTCTCTGCCCACATGTCCAAGTCACTCCTTACATCTTCAGGGCCTTTGGGAGACTTCCTAACATTATCTGTCAGGCAAAAATTTCACTATATCTTTGAAAAATGTGTATGAGTTCCATTCCTAAAGGTCTCTAATGTCACAGTAAGTTAAAAATAATTTGGTGTTCAAGTTAGAATTTCAGTTTAAGGAAAGGGCCTGTCCTTTTTGTTAAATTTTTATTAGGTTTTGTTAAATTATAGTTGATCATAATATGTTAAACTCTTTTATCAGTCTCCCTGAGTCTGCCAGTGTGGCAGTGAGCCATGGACATGTGCTTGAGTTCTGTTAGTGCTCTCCCTGTGCATTCAGTCCTGACATGGCAGCAGTTGACCTTGAGCTCCAGGGATCTGCCTGCCTGCCACCCTCTTTCCTCACCCCCATTACACACACACACGCACGCACGCACGCACGCACGCACGCACGCATGCCTGCATGCGTGCTGAGCTTCTGAGGATACATAGCCATGTTTGGCTTCGTGTGGATACTGGGGATCTGAAGTCTGGTCCTTTTGCTCTCACAGCAAGCACTCCTAACCAGTGAACTGTACCCCAGGCCCTTCCTGGACATCTTGATGCTGTCAGCTGTACCCCAGTCCCTTCCTGGACATCTTGATGCTGTCAGCTGTACCCCAGTCCTGTCCCTGGACATCTTGATGCTGTCAGCTGGACCCCAAGCCCTTCCTGGACATCTTGATGCTGTCAGCTGTACCCCAGTCCTGTCCCTGGACATCTTGATGCTGTCATTTGGATTCTCAGTCTCTGAATGAGGCCATTTCTCTACTGTGAATTTTTATAAAGAAATGATAAAATTGGATTTATGGAATTCAATTTGGTTGAAATCTCTTTAAGGAATCCTTAAAGGGTCCACTTGTTTAGAAATCTTTGAAGAGGTTACTGCTGGATAAAGGATTGAAGAAGATATAATCTGAACGTAGATCTTAATATCAAATAAGGAGGATTTACAGGTTGTCATTACCAAAGCTTAGTTTATATGATTGATCCTGTGATCTATAAGTTGTAATCTATAAAAAATAATTTCTCCACTTGTAAATTCAGAACAATTTACAAATTAAAACTTACCTAAATATAAATTTAGGGATTAAAAATTCTTATGAGGTTTTTTCCCCCCCAAACCATCCTTGTTTCTAGTATGAGATTATTAAAGCAATAAGATATTATTTAGAGTTTTGATTTTAGCACCTAGTAAATATACTCTAGTTTTTGTCTTCTTAAGCAATCAACAGAATGTATTTAATAGTTTTTTGCTTTGGCTTTCTTAAACCAATTATGTTAACTTTTTAAAGGGAAAAATAGTTTCAGTTAAATACTATTAAATAGTTCATCACTCGTGGAATGTTAAAGCCCATAAAGTATTGTGCCTTTAGTCATGGTCATATCTGTAAATTACTTTGTAATTAAATATATTTTTACTAAGCATAGATGTAACCTTACACACTGATCTTTAGGCTAAAATGTTTGACTTACATATACATATATATGTAAAAATATATATATATACATATACAGTATAATCAGTTTTACTCTGGTTTATGTTCATAATAATTCTACATTTATAGATTATAAAACACCAAGAAAAGATAGCTTCCAGTTTTAATTGCTGTAATGAGTTCTTTGGTAGGCTATATAAAAATAAATTTTTTTCAAGTCTATCATACATAAATTGTGACCTTATGCAACTCATTTAATTATAACTTTTTTGTTTGTTTTGTTTTCAATACATCCCGACTGCTCTTTCCCCTCCCTCTACTCCTCCCAGCCCCCACCCCCCAAATTCCCCACGCTGCATATCTGTTATGGTTGTTAGCTTGGTGTTTTTGTGGGACTCGTAACAGTGGGAGTGGGGTGTCTCTGACTCTTTCTCCTGCTCTTGGGACTCTTTTCTTCCCACTGGGTTGCCTCACCCAGCCTTGATATGAGGGTTTGTGCCTAGTCTTATTATAAGTTGTTATACTGTGTTAGGTTGATATCCCTGAGAGGCCTGCTCTTGCTGAAGGGAAGTGGAGGAGTGGTATCTTAGTTAGGGTTTCTATTGCTGTGAAGAGACACCATGATCATGGCAATGGTTATAAAGGAAAACATTTAATTGGGGCTGGCTTATAGTTAGAGGTTTAGTCCATTATCTTCACAGCGGCATGCAGACGTGGTGCTAGAGAAGGAGCTGAGGGTTCTACATCTTGATTCACAGGCAGTAGAATGAGACTGTGTATCACACTGGACATAGCTTGAACATATGAGACCTCAAAGCTTGCTCCCACAGTGATACACTTCCTCCAACAAGGCCACACCTCCTATTAGTGCCACTCCCTTTGGGCCAAGCATTCAAACACGTGAGTCTGTGGGGTCATTCCTATTCAAACCACCACAAGTGGATTTCAGCTTTTAAAAAAAAATATTTTTAAATAAAATACACTTGTATCACTTCCCATCCTTCCTTTTCTCCCTCTCGGCCTTCCACCACCCTCAGACTTCAACCCCGCTTTCAAGTTGAGAGCCTCTTTTTCTTTATCATTGTTACATACTTACATATGTGTGTGTATACAGATATATAAATAGAATCTGCTGAGTCCGTTTTTGTTGTTAGTGTGTATATGGTTTGAGAACTGACTACTTTGCATTGGACAGCCACTATGGCAGCTTGTCTCTATGAAAGGCTATTTTCCCTTTTTCCAGTGTCTTCATTGCCCAAGAGTGGGACCCTGTGAGCTTTTCCCCTTTCCACATTAACTTGTCCATGGGTATGATTGTCATGTCAGTCTTGTTTTTAATGCAGCCGTCTGGGAGAAACGGTTTTCCCAGCAAGCCTCCTGGTATTGGCTGTCAGAACCATTCTACCCCCTTTCTGCAGGAGCTGCGCTGCAGACGTGTCTGTTGGGGCGGGGCTCCCTCAATCTGTTGATCTCTGTGCCCTGTTGTGGTTTTCTGTGATAGTCTCCATTTGCTTTAAATAGAGGCATCTTTGATGAGGGGTGGTAGCTACACTTTTATGTGGGTAAGCTTAATATTTCTTTTTATTATATATAAAATCAAGTTGATTTCTTCATAAAATGGTAAAATACAAGCCATGGTGTGATCAGTATCAGGATTAGCATTTTATT